CATTTTATCATGTTATATTTCCGTTTTACCGTCTAAGCAAGCAATGAACTATCTCATCAAGACATAATACTTCAAATGCTTCCTATAAACATAAGCAAAAATTTAGTTATGGTTTAGTTTTAAGAAATATTTAAATAAAATGGTGACGTGAGCTACAAATTATATCTTATACTCTCTTAAATTTGCATACTAAGCAGCCGATAACCAGGTATCGATCTATCAATACTAAAAATAGGTATCGATCTGAGAAGAACATTAAGCAATCTTAATGGTCGGTAGTTCTTCGCCGTGTTGTGGCCTTTTCTACCTGCTTTTGGAATGAAAACTACTCTTACTTGAGGGAAGGGCTGTTACAGAATAATTTAAAACTATATCTCTCAGAGATTGGAATATCATTTCTACGATACGATCCGGGCCTGAATTTTTTTATGAAGAAAAAGAGTCGATTACCCATTTAATTTTTTTATAGAGAGAAATAAAGAGACCTTTTGCTGACGACTAATCAAAGTCTGGCCGATTCTTCAATATGTTCAATTTTGAGACAGCGAGAGTTCGAAGATACTTTGTTGGATTCTTAAACTCGATTTTGTATGCGGACTTTGAACCAGTTGTTATGGAAGTCATATCTTGACTTGATACTTTCGTAGAAAGAATTTCTATTTTTCTATTGAGCAGTCTATTGAATCTATCACAATTTGATTTTCTAGGATTATGCTGAGACTATTCATCTAATGTAGAAATGTTTATCACAAACATAATGTATCTAAGGTTAGGGAAAGAATTTTACAACACTTAGATCACAATTCTACTTTGTATGTTTTAGTTTTGCTTACTATCTTATCACCGGTTTTAAACACATGTGGTAAAAAAAAGAAAAAATTATTAATGCCGAAAATAATTGATTTAATTTGTTGTCTTTTTAAATATGTTTAAAATTATTTTCTTCTTAAAATATTTTGTTTATTTCCGGAGTTGATAAAAAATCTTCTTCATATTTTAAATAAGAAATAAATACGTAAATATTACCAGAACACTTTTAATGATTAATTAAAAATCCACTTGTATAACATTGTTAAGTTTGCTCATTATTAAGATTATTGATTTAGTCCCTACATAGTACCATTATTTAAAATATGAGGATGCAGTCTCCAAAAAACTTTATGGTAATCTACGAAATTCAGAGCTACCTTGCAATAGTGGACACCTCTGAGATGATAAGAGAGGGATGGCTCAGGAACTCAGAGCCATATCCAATTCCATCCAGACCATGACTCGCCTAATTAACTTAACCGCCTAGTAAATAGCTATAAAGCTTAGAACAAACTAATTGTAAAAAACTGTGGAAATAAGTAGTTTTTGAATGGAATGCATTTTATTCTTACACAAATAAATAATAACAACATATATGCGTTAAAGTTAACTTAAAGAAGTTAAAGAAGAAGTTAACTAATAAAAATATGAATTCCGCAAAGTGCCTTAAAATAATGGCATCTAGCTTTAGAGCATTGTTGAAATCAATCACCTTCATAAACACCCATCGGTTTGTAATGCAAAAATATGTAACAATAACAAATGTACATATACATATATATATATATATTTGAAAATAAAAAACAGAAAATTTGATTAAGCAGATGATTAGTTATGTCAGAAATAACAACTTACCTTCTTCGCAAAAGTATCCGGATTTTGTTGTTTGTTAACTACCTCTTAAGTAATAGACTTTTTTCAAAAATTTTTTTTTTGTTATGTTGATACACCCTTTCTTGACGTATGGTCAAATTTGAGCGCCATCTATCAATTAGTTAGTTTACAGCAGCTGTTAATGTGAGACTAATACTTGTCTTGAATCGGTAAAAGAAAATTCACTGAAGGAACTAAAAGCCATACCTGCACGGGCCTACGAAAAGTGTATGGAAGATTAGGTTAAGCGTTGGTATATGTGTATCGCTTCAGAAGAAGCATATTTTGAAGGAGATAAAATAAATTTGGAATAAAATTTAAATTTGTGTGTTTTATTTACAAAATCCGGGTACTTTTTAAGCAGATCCGTGATAGTTCCATGTTCCGGAAGTTCCGGACTATGAGTCAAAAAGTACTCACGCACTCCTCTTTATGGAATACGGCTAAAGTGAATGAAATACTATGGTGACTATACATGGTCTATGAATTGGGAAACATTGAACGAATTCGTATTACTTGTAATACGAGTAGTACGAGTACTGTACTAGATTCTACCTGTAGGCAATTACAAGAAAATAAATTTTAATCAAAGTCTTTACATCTTCTCTTCTCTTCTATACATATATATATATATATATATTATATATATAATATATATTATTGTTTATATTAATATATATATTATATATATTATATTATATATTAATCTTTATATTAATATATATTACCATAAGACAGTAGGCTGGCCTACTGATTGAAACTTCTAAAACTAAAACCTCAACTTTAACAGCCTACCACTATAATAATATATACTAAAAAACGGTAAATAATAGTTAAGAACACTAAATATTTTTCATCATATTTAAGATGAATGTATTTGACTTTATAAGATGAATCTTCAATAACTCCAGCTTTTTTGACTTATTCATTATTTTCTTATGCTGCTTTTTATGATTTTGATTTTTCTTTTTAGAGGGTTTTTCGAATAGCAAAGAAAGAAATAAAGGACAAACACAAAAATTTATTTTAATTTTTATTAAAATTTGGCTGACCATACAACGCTGTTTCGAGTATTGCCAAGTACACTTCATCAATGGTCTTAGGAAATAATGGAATTTTTATTTAATTAGTTTATAGTCCGTATATAATTTGTTTGGACTGCGATTGCCAAGCTTAGAACTTGTGCCCATGATTTTTCTTTAAATATTTTGATCATATAACTTATGGTCTTTGTGGTTTTTAAATTTTAACTAAATTTTTAGTACAACGTCTTAGTACTTTATCTATAAGAAGAACACTTAGGTATTATTGGTACTACTGACTGGAGTGTTATTCTGGTTGGAATTTGCGCGGTCATAGAGGGTTAAATTATCTCTATAAATAAGAAAGTAGAATAAAAGTAAAATACATAACAATTCAAAATTCTGTAAATGAAGATTCACATTAAAACACTTTTTTTTAATTGGTCAATGCAAATTCTCTCAGTTTGGTAATTATTCAATTATTCAAATTATTTGTTCTGGATTTTCTGCCACTTGTGCCACTTGTGCCAGAAACTAGCTACTTATTGATCAAAAGGTTAAGCTAGTATTAATGCATTTGATATTTTCTCCCTTATCCAACAGAGTATGAAATCAAAATAAAAAGCAAGCAGTTAATATAAAGTAATATAAATTAGTATAATTAGGCCTCAGATATGCATGAATTATTTTAAAGTATCGATCGCATATTAAGTGCAAAACAAATCATATTTATTATTTATTTTTATTTATTAAAACTATTGTCGTGAAATCGCCCACAGTCGGTACTGCTGCGAGAGTCCTATTGTACCAAATTCACTTTTATTTACACAAAGCCTTTTAAAGCTTTGTGGACAAAGTGCAGAACTAAATTCGGAGAAGAGTTCTTAATCTGTTCTGGTGACAAACATTACATATGAAATAAGTTTCTTCTGTGCGTTGTTAAAGCTGGACAGGCACAAAGTCCAATATCCAGCCAAGTCACAAACAAACCATATACTTTAAGTAGAAAGCTAAGAGGCAAACAGCACTGCTAGGATCAAATTAATTTCTGTTTTAGAAACTTGCATAATTTTTTTTAATTTATCAAAGCCAAAAATGAATGAATGATGAATGACGGTTCTCTTGATATAAACAAAATGAATCAGGAAGTGAGGAACTACCATATTTACTTGCCAGTACAAATGGTTGGTTGACTATTGCGAGAGCAGACCAAGCGGCCTTTTCATCGAGAATTAAGTGTTCACAAAGTGTAACTACATAATTACAGTATAATTACGTCTAAGCCATTTATTCGTAGACTTTGCTGCAACGCCCGCATTGCGTTTTATACAAGTATAATGCTGACCTTGACTTACATTTATGCCCATTGTTTGTGGAAGGTTCATTGTTAGTATTTAACTAATTACGACCATATGGGTAAGCAAATACGTATTGTGTTGTATTGCATTGTATTTGGTAGTTGTAGAACACAGCAAAAGTCATGGAAAAGCCAAAAATTTCGCTAAAACTTTCGAAAAGCTTGTGGTTTCGTTTGAGCTTTGATCTAACCAAACACGATCTCAGTATAAAAATTACGCTTCACTTCTACTCTCCGTGCCAGAGAGCATTTGGATTTGCTAATCTATATACAAAACAGCCATAGCCCCAGCTATGGTGGTTTTCATATCAGCCAATATTAGAGATGTCCAAATTTTTTGTATTCTGAATCGCAACCGTTTCTGTGCCCAGTTGAATCCAAAAACTCTAACCTGAAGAAATGTCTTTCTTGAGTGATTCACTTAAATCCGAACATACTATAATATATATGTATATGAAATAGAAATAAGAAATCAAATTAAGATCTAAACTTGAAACTTAATGGCATACAATATAACACATTATAGAAAGTTAAAACATAGATCAGTTGTTAGCGAATCACTCAACAAATTAGACTGACTAGCTTAATATTGAATAACAAAAAAAAGTTGTATGCAAATACATTTAGTTTAACATTACAGGGTTCACAGCTTGCGGTATGGCCATTTCTTATATTGTATAAGCTTTAGTGAGTAACGTGTATTGACTTTGAGTGCTTTGGAGGCATAAAACACAAATATAAATAGAATTTTTAGTGAATGGCTTTAGGGAGTTCCATTAACGTAACGAAGATTATGTACATTATTAAAAATAAAAAATGCCAGTATAGCAAATTAAGCAGAAAACACCCTGTATATGTCAACGGTTGCTGATTTAAAATCAAATAAAACACGATTAAAAGATTTAAATTCAACTATAAAAAGGAGTTGCTTACCAGCTCACAGATTTAGTTCGTTACTCGTTTTCGCTTGAAGCGGACGTATTGGTTTCGTTGAGAGTTGTGGCTTGATTTTCGGCTCAAAGCTTTGTATTGAAAGTTGCGACTGCAAATCACACGAATAGCTTGAAAAGTAAATAAATCAAATTAATTCATTTAAGATGATTAAGTTTTCGGTATTGTTTTGTGTCGCTGTTGTTGTTGCTGTTTTTCTATCATCAGCAATTGCTGCCGAAGAGGAGAAACTATCCAAAAATGACGAAAACATCAAAGTCTATAAGCGTTTAATTCCGGCGGATGTACTCAGAGGTGAGAAACGTGTATGAAAATTTGAACGATTCACATAGGGCACACATTGCGTATACTTCAATGAATCATCGACTGAATACAGCTATACGGCTATACGACTTTTGTTTCTCATCATAGTTTCGGTTTTTCTACAACTTTGGTATTCACGCTTTCAGTGAATATTGAGTCATCGAAGGCTAAGTCTTGAAAACTGCAATTGGTAGTTAAGTCATGAGTAACTGCGCCAATACGAAATCCATTTTAAGTGAATATTTAAATGAGTACGACTGTAATTTCCTAATTCGGAAACCGGTTTCAGTTTTTATTTCACTCTCGTAGTTTTGCAAATGAAACTGAATAAGTTTTGCGCAATAGCAAATATCACACAAACTCAATTTCAATTTCACTTTATTGAGTTATATGGTGGTCTCGTTTGGCTTGGCTATAATTGCTAACAGTATTTTATCTTCCACATTCAAAAGTTTATCTTAAGTTCGTTATTTGAAAAAAAACTCGTACATATTTTTCACCTTTTATGATGTTGGGTGTTACAGCTGTCGTATTGGCTCATACGTTGCGATTGAATTGTTTTTACTATTTGAGGTGACAGACATAAACAGTAGACAATGAAGTCATATATACATTTTTCGTACAGATTTTCCTGGCATGTGCTTTGCATCGACGCGTTGCGCAACAGTCGAACCTGGTAAAACTTGGGACTTAACACCGTTTTGCGGCCGTTCAACTTGTGTCCAAAGTGAAGACAATCCAGCCAAGTAAGCTAAGATACATTTAAATATGCTTTCCTCTCTTTAAAAAGGAAATTAAATCTATACAGGCTTCTGGAATTAGTAGAAGATTGTGGACCTTTGCCATTAACTAATGAAAAATGTAAATTGGACACTGACAAAACCAACAAAACTGCTTCTTTCCCATTTTGCTGCCCCAAATTCACTTGTGAGCCAGGAGTTACGTTAGAATACCCCGAAGTTCCAAAGGATGAACCTAAAAAGGAATGATTTCAAAAGAGGTAGAAACTTGAAGCACTATTTGGGCAACAACAAATATGTCATATATGTGTAGCTACTACCTTAAGCACAAGCTCACTTTACTGATCATGTTTAATATACAACAAAAAAAAAACAAAAATATCAATACTTGTTCTTCATTTTTAAAAATAGCTTAAAAGGCACATATAATATTTAAACTTAAGTTTACAACATGGAAAGCAGAATTTCCAATATATTTTTATATAAATACAACGATAACTTGTATGTTGTTGTTATTGTTGTAACTCGAGTTAGGAATGATGAACGTCACTTGGTCATCGATTTCGAGTCGATGACGAGTGGCTTCGAGATGTAGACCCGGCCGTTCCTGGAGCCACGTTAACTTTAATAAAACCATGTTCCACGAGAAGGAAGGTATTTAGAAACGGATTGTGCTAAAAGCAGGTAAATCACTTATAAACATTTCAATTTTTCTTTTTTTGGATTAGTTAGTCAATTTGTGATTTATTATATAAATTTGTAAACACACGGGTGCATATAACAAGAGATAAGAGGTCTAGAAATTATAAAAAAAAGACATCAATAGGAAAAATTGTTAAAAATACATTGAAGGGTCCTTATACATTTTGTTTAACAAAAAAATTCAATTAACCGAATTAATAATGAAATAATTAATTACCAACTAGCCTAAAAAACTTGAAAATTATGTAAAATAGTAATTTTTGTAGTTAAGTTTATGTTTATGTGAGATAACCCGAAAGAACGCTGAGACCAGTTTTGACCGTAAAAGTTTTTATAAAAGGCGTTTTATAAAAAACTCTAATCTTTATATTAAATTTTAATATTTTCTCCAATGCTGGCATTATTTTCTTTCCATCAACTCAAATTTTATTTCCCTGATTATCTCTGAGGGATTGATTTCTTAATTAATAGGAGTTCAATTTTGTATTAGGGTTATTCATATATCATGTACCATTTTCTTTATTCAATTTAATTCCTCTATTATATGATTTTGAGGATATTTCATTTAATTTTCTTGTATGAAAGCTTCATTATTTTCTTATGTTTTTTATGTTTTTATTATTTATATATTAATTATTTCGTCTGTATTTTATATTAACATATTACGTGAACATATTTAAATTGTTATTTTAATTAAATTTCCTCTTCTTC